TCTCTCTCTCTCTCTATATATATATATATATATATATATATATATCAAATTTTTAAACATTTTTCTCATGCAATTTAATTAAACCCAAACTTTGCAATTTAATAATACAAGAAGAATTTGTATATCATACAAATCAACCACATATGTAGAAGAATTCGATTCGTTCATAATTTTTGAAAGGTTCAAGACAAATAGTCCTTGATCACAATATTATTTTCCCATTTGCACATTATTCTTATTCATAACAACTTTGTCAAACTCAAAAGAAACTTTAACCCCGTGCAACACATTACTTAAAGTGTGATAATATACCTTATTGGCTTGGTTCCAATCTTCAATATGTTTGGTTGTTCCCTTAGAATCTAGTTTCGGAGTGGTAAGAGTGAATACAACTCCATACATATGGAGTAAGGTATGAACACATTCCTACCAACAACGAAAGTTATTACCAAACAAAGACTTCAATTTTGGAGACACTGGGAAATGGTTTTGCATATGCTGAGGCAGCGACAACAAAAGCAAGAGTGGTTGGCAGGTCCCCCTAAGATACAACAGGAACATCTCAAGAAAGTTGTTGATTTGCACTATGATAGACCCACTTGGCCCATATACATGTGTCCAAGCCTCTCCATTCTTGCTAGCCTCTTTATATGCTTATATCACAACTTGATATACTTGATATATAAACCATTCTCCAAAGACAATGCTAACTAATATGTGACTTGTTTCTTTTGTAATACATATATACAACAATTATCACTTTCAATTCAACATCCTTATCATTGTTGTTATCATAATCACCACCATTATTGTTGATGCAACCACTCCCACCTCCACTATCACCATCATTACCTCATTGTTATTGTCACTATTATCGTTGTTATTGGTGAAAGTGATAACAATAACAATAAAAAAATGATAACATTTTAAGTAAGTATTTCTAATATAAATTATTTATTTTAATCTAAGAATTGAGATTCACTATTTTTATTATCACATAAAATATTATTTTGGTATGATAGACCCCCTCCTTATATATATAAAGTTAGTTGATGAATCATTTGGGTTAAGCTAAACATAGATTAAATTTAATTATTTATTTAACAAGTTCAATTTTAATCTTAAATTTCATTTTTTTAATTCTAATTTCAAATTGATTCCTCTACATCACAATGTGAAGTAAATTAAAAAAGGTTGGTAGTTGGTAATTATCGTGTCTAAATGAGAGCAGCACAATCTTATTAAGATGTTAATTATCAAACAATTTCCTAATTGAAGGGCAGGTATGGAGGATCTTATGTTTTGGAGAGGCAAGCTGAAAAGGGGTCAAAATTTGATTACTTTGATGCAACAAATAAACATTTGCTTACTGTTTGACAAGTGTGTATGTATCAAAGTTATTAAGTTAGTCAAACTATAATGATCACTACTTGCATGATCGATACATGTCCACGACTTCAACGATGAAACCCATTACTTATTTCATAGGGGAAGTTGCTTAGGTTTCCAAAATTGGCAAGTCATCTTGTTTGTTACTCTACTTAAGGTATCCGTTCCCAAACCCCATACATCTAGTACATTCAATACCTCACGTGCCCTTCCTTCTAGTGG